ACTATATTGTTATCAAATATTCACTATCAAGATAAAGTTCAGTGAAGAGAGAGAATCATGATCCAAGCAGCCATTTCCGGTTTTTAAAACACTTCTTCTCACATAACATCGCTTTTAATAACAAAAAACAAAATCATTTTAGTAGACTTATGAACTTATGTCAAAAACCATATACATATTTAACTGAAGTTTTTATTTATTGTTTAACCATTTAAAAAAAAAATTGCCATCTTAATTTTTTTTTTGTTTTTCAAGTTTCCAAAAATCAAAATATAACTTTATAAGAAAGATATAGAAATTGTTGTAACCACCATAATTATACATTTAAGAAAAGATAGTCATTTTAACTTGAGTAAATGAATATTTCTTTTAAAAAAAGGAAATGATAAGCTAGTATGTAAACTTTTATGGATCGAACTTTTTGACTCAACTTGCATAATAATCTATATTTTGTTACCAACTTATGCATTAAAATAACTGGTTGAAATAGTAATAAATAAATATTTGTGAATATTCTTTATGTCTTATAATATTCGATGTCTTTAGATCTACTGATAATGAATTTGAAACTATATTGTTATCAAATACTCCCTGCGTTCCTAAAAGATCCATGTTCTGGAAAAATATTTTGTTTCAAAAAGATGTATATTCTATGTTTTCTATGAGAAAATTACAAGTTTCAAAAAAATTAATTGGTTTTATTAGATTACTATTAGCTAAAAGTTGTTGAAAATTGAAAATTACTGAAAACGATAGTAATTTAATGTGTTTTCTTAATATGTGTGAAAACACTAGAAAATCTATCTTTTAGGGACAGAGGGAGTATTCACTATCAAGATAAAGTTCAGTGTTTATATTGGGGAATGGTTGAGGGGAAGAATGTACAAATTCGAAACTCCTGACCTTTGGGCACTTAATGGTCACTCTTGTTGTGGGAAATTGATGAGTTCTATTTTATTGCAAGCAAGTATTTTGGTTTCAAAATTAAGGCAGGAAATAGGCTGATCATGAATAGCACAATTATGACTCCAAAATGGTGTTTCACCATTGTTGGCTATTTGTACTTCAAGTTCATGTGAATGAAATTCCATCAGATGACAAAAAAAAACACCATCAGATGACAAAAAGCTCTCATAACCCTTTTCGTAGATTCTCATCTCTCTCATAACCCATTCTCCAACAAAGGCCAGAGAAAAAAAAGATTTCGGAAATGTGAATACAATATACTAAAGAAAAAGAATCAGGAAAAAAATTAATAGAAACCAGAGTATCCCAACAAAGACATCTAAGTAGTCAAATTTTTTTATAATCCAACACACAACTCTAAACGGTCAAGTTTTATATTATATTAACATATGTGCGGTTCAACAAATGACATGTAATAATTAATAGGAATTACAGAGAAGTGCAGTTA